AGAGAGAGAGAGAGAGAGAGAGAGAGAGAGAGAGAGAGAGAGAGAGAGAGAGAGAGAGAGAGAGAGAGAGTTGGGGCGGACAAGGGGAATGCCGAGCGAGGGCGAAGGGAAGACGGGGCCATAGAGAAAGCGCCGCCGAGGGACGGGAGAAGGAGCGGGAGCGGGAGGAGGAACGGGAAGGAGCGGGAGCCGGGAGGAGGAACGGAAAGGAGCGGGAGCGGGAGGAGGAGCGGAAGAAGGAGCACGAGTGGGAGGAGCGGGGGAAGGAGCGGGAGGAGGGACGGGAAAAGGAGCGGGAGGAGCGGGAAGAGGTGGAGCGGGAGCGGGAGGAGAAGCGGGAGAAGGAGCGGGAGAGAAAAAAAGAAAAAAAGAGACACTGTATATTTCCATGTTCTAGCGGAAGATTCATTCCGATTTTGCTCATCCTATCTATGGAAGTAGCCTCTCTCTATCTCTCTGCGCGCATGGCTGGAAAGCAGTGTATATTTCCATATTCTACTTGAAGATTCATTCCGATTTTGCTCATCCTGTCGATGGAAGCCTCTCTCTATCTCTCTGCGTGCATGGCTGGAATGCTCTCTCTCTCTCTCTCTCTCTCGCTCACACACACACACACACACACACACACACACACACACACACAGAGTGGATATTTCCATGTTCTAACGGAAGATTCATTCAATTTTGCTCATTCTATCAATGGAAGTAGCGTGAGGCCAGCCGCGGGGTTGGAGACTTACCTGTTGGCCGGTGCGTTGCTCATCCTATAGATGGAAAACTCTCTCTCTCTCTTTGACCCCTCTCTCTCTCTTCCTACCATTGATAACATCCTTGCGCATGCATGCGCGGGCGTCATCTTCTTCGCCGATGAACCGGAGTCTTCTCCGTATCTTCTCCCAGCCCTGAGTCAGAACTCCTCGCTTTCGATCCACATGCCTGAGTTCAAAGTCCACTGGCTCAGGCTTTCGCTCACTAAGGTGGATATGCTCTTACCCCGCTACCGGCAACAACCACATGCACGTCTGACTTTGCAGAGTATTTGAACATCTTTGCTCATCAGCCAATTATGATTACCATCTCAAATTCTCAACCCAAATTCAACACATGTCATTGACTGTGTTGGGCTAGAAAGATAGCTTTCCCTTTCTAAGTAATAACCCATTTTGAAAATTTTACATAATTGTATAATTCAGCATTCATTTGGTTATGAAGACAGCTGCAACGGAATTCACTTCATACATTTTGCGGCGGGGGAGGGGGATCTAGATGTGTATAAGAGACAGGTGTTCGATTCCCCCGTGACTGAGGGGGGGGGAAAAAAAATGACGAAAGAAAGATCACGCCCTGACTGTTTTGTACGGCTCCCTCCTTCCCCCCACCGACGCCACCAAGGTGCCACTGTAAATGCGACTCTGTGTTTTGGACCTTAGATTACAGAGATCAACGACCAGATACGAGGAATCGGGACGATAAGAACCTCGTCCTCCTATAGCTTTTGCTGATTTGTCACCCACCGCTACTGGCTGGTCCTTCCCACTCAAGTCCCCGCCCCTTTTTCTTTTTTTTTCCCGCCTTTTTTTTTCGCTTTTTCAGTTTTGTCCCCTCCCCTGTTCCCCGCCTCACTCTCGTCTTTACTCTTGCTGCAATCATTCCCTTATCACTCACTCATTCCCCTCCCTCTTCTTCCCCCACCTCCCTCTCGTACTTCTCTCTCTCTCTCTCCCCGCGGGAAACGACGCCGCCCCACCGCTCGCCTCATCGCAAAGACGTTTCCCGCCTCGTCCCAAAGACGGGAACCGACGCGCTCCGGGGGCCATGTCCCGCTTCTCCAGGTTTTGTTCTGGTTTCGAGTGTACATGGCTCCTTGCCATCCGATCTGAAATCTCACGGCCCTACTTTTTTTTTTTTTTTTTTTTTTTTTCACGGCCCTACTTTAGTGTGACCACGTTGGAAAATATACGAAACATAGGCCGCGGCCGTCGGCCAATGCCGGGGCCCCCCCGGCCGCGGCCGGGCCGGCCGCAAATTTTCGGCCGAGGCCGCGACCGATCGGGGAGGCGGTTTTGGGAGCGGGGAGCGGGTTTACAGGGGGGGGGGGGCACCCCCTCGAAGTACCAGACCGTCGAAAAAATAAAAAACGGGGGGGTCCTACACATGGGCCTGGAAGGGCGGGCCGGGAAAAGTTGTGCGTCCCCCGAGTGGTGTTTCGTCGATGCAGGTGCGCAGGGAAGAGGGTCGGAAACACATGAAAAAAAAAAATAAAAAAAAATTGACCCCTGCGGGGGCAGGGTTGGATGGGGGTCGGGTTGGGGCGGGCAGGGCAGGCGGGTCAGGTGGGGGCTGGCCGCAGTGAGCGGGGGTGCGGATGGCAGACCCCAGGCAGCTCAGGGCCTCAGGCAGGCATCAATTTCATTCGTGAGGGTGTCGAAAGTTCGTGAAATTTTTTGAAACAGCACATTCATAGGAATCATAGGTCAGACCCTATTTCGCATACCAAAGTCACAAAACATTCACAATGAATCACAATGCGGGCAACCATAAGTTCTAAACAATGTCAACAGGCAATTGTGTCACAGTGTGTGTTCTTTCATGAGGCTGGTGAAAGTTCGTGAAACAACACATTCATTAAGCATATCATCCCTGTTTGGCATACGAAATTCACAACACATTCATAATGGGGGCAACCATGACATGCATGTGCATGGCATCCGACAAAGACACGATTTGCAACATTGTAACAACAATACCCGCTGTGTCGGGGACATTTACGACAGCAAACCAGAAACCGCTCACCAAACAACAGTGACTCATATGCAAAACCTAGGGTGGAAGAGGAACATGAAGAAGAACAAAGACAAAGCATTTCAATGGACGTGTATGTACAAGGCCAAAGCCAAAAACCGCACCCCTCGACGCCATCGTCTCCACCGTAACACCGAGCAGCTAAAAAAAAAAAAAAAAAAACCCTAACGCCCACATAACGTCGTCATCTCCATGGAACAACATCAACATAAATATGGAACTACCCTGCCAAAAAAATGTCCAGCCAAAAAAAAAAAAAAGTAATGAAATAAAAAAAAACACCACTGACATCTTCATCTCCTCCCAGAACAGCGGCCCGTACCCCTCCCAGCAGGAGGACGCGTGCGGCCTCTCCCGAAGGACGATCCGCCATGCTGTCCACCCGGGCGCCCTCCTCTCCCTCCAGCACCTGTGCCCTCCGCACCGCTGATGTATGTCGCCTGTGCTGCAGCGGCTGCCGCGGCCACGACCGCTCTACGTGTGCGGACCACACTCTCGAGCGGCTCGGACTCTGTGTTTGCGTCCTCGTCCTCTGTCGCCTGTGCAGCAACCGTATCTCGCTGCCTCTGAATCGCGTCCAACGCTGCCTGGCCGGCGGCGACCTCTGCTGCGAGTCGAGCCTCCACCTCTGTGATGCCGCGGTGTCGTCTCGTCTCGGGACGCATCAACAACCCCTCCTCGCCCGATGTGTGCAGCTTTCCCTGCTGCATGTCCGTCGATGTCCCTGCGGCCTAGAGGACCAATGATCTCCTCGTCGCCGCTCGTGACAAACCGAGCATGCGGCCTACCATGTGAAGGCTCGGACGTCCGGACCCACCCTCCACAGCCTGCGTCTGAGCTGGCAAACGTCCCGCGAAGACGCCCCTCCCAGCGTCATAATCCACCCTCAAGCGGTCCCCGACCCATCGATGAGCTGACCATCCGCCGCCGACACCACCTCGGACCGGCGGCGGGGAAGCGCCACTGTGCACAACTTCGGGTGTCGGCGTCTCGTTGTCGGCGTCAACGCCCGCCTGTGAGGCTCGTGCGGGTGGTGGAGGCATCGATCCTGCACATCCGCCGCCGTCACTGCGTCGGCCCGACCCGACCTCAACCGCCCCGGACTGCGGCCCGTATGTGGGAAAGGGTCCTCTGTCAGCGCCTGCGCCAAAGCGTCGGCGTCGAAGAAAGTGTGCGCTTTGTCGTCAAGGCGCAGGGGGGGACTGTGGGGTCCCTCAAGACCAAGGCAAGCCTATACACATCGTCCTCGCGACCGTGGTCGTCGTAGTCATCTCCGTCGGGTCCATCGTCTCCCCCACCACCTGCGGCGACACCCTGTCCCTCGTCAGCTGCGGTATCCCCATCTCCACCGGGTCCACCCTCTCCCCCGCCACACGGCGGCACCCTGTCCCTCATCACCCGCGGTCTCGCCGTCGCCACTACCTCCACGAGGGGGAGATCGTCCGCCCGCGGCGACATCCCGTCCCTCGTCACCCACGTTCATATCGTCACCGGGTCCACCCTCTCGCAAGTCTGCATAAACTGGCTCCCTAGGGACACCCCCGTCGTCGGCGTCAAAGCCGGCCCACCCTCCTGTCTCCAAGTCCCTCTGTCGGCGCTGCTCGTCTAGGTACGTGAACCGACCCTCCCATCCTGGCAAACTCCGCAGCCGCTCCTCCTCTCGGTGCAGGCGAGCATCCCGCTCCTCCTCGGTCTCAACTCCGACGGTGAGGCATGTCGACGTCTCAGCACGTTGAAATCCCCCAAGCCCCCACCTGTGTGTCCGACGTCAAAGTCGTCTGTACGGAGCTCCGACGAGGAGCGGGGGCGGATACCGGAGCCCGAAGGAGTTCTCTCCCCCTATCATGTGTCCGCTCTCTCCCTGCTGTCGACGCCAACCTCTCCGAACGCCCAAGTGCCTCGGGCGGTGCAGTGGTCCGATGATGGGAGGGAGAGTAGCAACGATCCTGACGGGGCACCTCCTCCTCCTCGACCTCTCTCTCGTGCTCACTGTCGCTCCTAACCTCCTAATGCCTGGCCGTCGTCCGAAGGCCTCCCCGTGGCTCCTGCTCCAACACGTCGGCCGCACTTGGACGTGGTTCACGACGACCACCACCTCTGCCGGTGCCACTGGCCTGCCCGATCGACGGCACATCATCAGTGATGACCGATGTGTGTGGACCCATGCCGTCAGGTCCTCCACCGTAAGTGAAGTACACCCGCTCTGCCGTCGCGTCGCCACTGACGGGCGCGTCATCATCGTCGGTCCACTCGTCGCAGGGGTCGTCGTCATCTGCATCACCGTCAGGACCGTCGTCAACCGCCTCTGGCCACGGTCGCAGCTCCGTCCCCCTCCGACCGAACATGTCCTGAACCGCACGGGCTCTGGACGGTCGGCTGTCATGGAAAGCGACGACCTGTTGCTGGATCTCCTGCTCGTGAACACTACCAGCAGGTCGCGCTCCCCACACCTCGAGCTCCACATCTGCCTCGTCATCCTCCTCCTCTCTCGCCGTCTCCTCCCGACCAGTCCCCAGAACCCATGGTAACACGTAGCCACCACCCTCCTGTGCGCATGCGGCCAGTTTGAGATTGGTGGCAATCTCAACCAGCTGTGCAAGCTTGGCAAACCCAAGCTTGCAGCGCCTCGCCGTGTTGATGCGCTCGTGCTGCGCCCAGTTCCTCTCCGCTGGAGAGGCGGACGTCCACAAGTGCATGACACGGATGGCGACGGTGCGCAGCTCCGGGTGGTGACGTCCATGGGCAAACCACCACGCCGCACAACGCTCGGTCTCGGGGTCTCCTCTACAATCGTCCACCTCGGCATCGGACAACTGCCGATCTCCCTGGTCTCCTCGCCTCAAATGGGAATGCCTCATCTGGTCGCAAACGGTCCTATACAGTCTGCTGACCGGATCTCCGCCGGTCTGTGCGAGGAGAAATTTGTCGCACTCCTCGACCACACGGGCGTTGTCACTGGTCGTCTGCAAGGACTCGTAATACCGAAGGGACCGTCGATGAGGGTTGAGGAGGTGTGCCGCGGCATGTGCGGGCTCGAGCATGTGGAGGTTGCAGATAGCAACCTCTCGCACGACGCACGGCTCGATCATGGCGTACAGCAGTGTCGCGGACAGACCCGTCACGTGCGACGGTGGCGTACAGCAGGGCGCCATTGGCGCCCTCGGCGAGGAAGTTCACGAGCGGCTTGCCGCTGCGCGACTTCCTCCTGTCCGAGAGGATGGTGGCACCGATGTGTCGGAAAGCAGAGCGCACCTTGCTCACCATCGACGCCACCTTCCCCCTCTGCGAAGGGATCCCTGCGCCCGCTGTGACCCTGTACGAGGGAAACCGGAACTGAACTGTCTGCGGCACTCTCTCTGCCGCCCGTCGAACCGTTTGGAACTCCGGACCTCAGAAGGCGTTGAATGCCAACCCCTTCGCGTAGATCCACTGCAGCCACGCGTCATGGAACTCGGCCAACTACTCCTTGTCATACATCTCGTTGATCGTCGTCTGCCGACCCCTCTTCTCCCTGGCCGTCTCTCGCACCTCGACGTCGCCCTCCCCCACCTTCCTCTTCTCCCTCCTCGTGCGGTCCAACTCAGGACGTGATGCCCTAGGAGCGGGACCCGCTCGACCTACGCCTCTCGACGTCGTCACCACCTCCTCCCCTGGCAGGTCAGGGTCTCCGACTGCCTCGTCAGCCGTCCCCCTCTTCCCAACCCCACCCTCGAGACCCTCCTCCTCATCGAGGGCACCCTGAATCTCGTCCCTCTCTCCCTCGTCCATCCGTTGTCACTGCCCACCCGCAGCCGCTCTCGTGTCCCGTACCCCCTCATCAGCCATCCACCTCTGCACCCGCCGAGCAGTTGCGGGCTTGAATGTGTAGTCCGTGCCGTTCCATATTTCCGCGAGAACTCTCATCCCCGCATCCTTGCAGTACTTGGACTGCGTGAAATGGCGCGCGGCCTTCCCCACATTCCCCTGAAACAAGTGGCCGCAAAAGTTGCAATGCAACTTTCGGTCCCCATGCATCTTCCCCTAGTTCCCCACATGTTGTCCCGCGGTGACGAAGTTCCACACCAAGTTCCCCCGCCTCAACTTCGCCATCTCCCTCTCAAACTGCGCAATGAACCCCCCACCCGCAGACCGCCCCACAGCGCTGGTCCCCGCACCCCTCGTCATCGTCCCCTAACTCAAAGCGTCGCAGTTGTCGTGTCGTCCATCGTTGTCGTCGTTCCCGGCGCTCCGTCGATGAATGGCCCCGACGCCGCTGCAGCCTCCACGTGCCCCGATGTCGCAGCCCTCCTCGGCCCGACAGGACCTGGCCGTTCTCGGCCCCTTCAGGCCGTTCGAGTGCCCGGCCGCGATTGGCCGCGATTGGCCGCGATCGGCCGCGATTGGCCGCAATCGGCCGCGATCGGCCGCGATTGGCCGCAATCGGCCGCGATCGGCCGTGGCCGGGCACCAAAATCGCCGCGCGCGAAAAAAGGCCGTGCGGTGATGGTGCCCGCCGACGACCGCCTGCGATCGTGCGCCGCAGGCCCGCACAAAGAAGAAGAAGAAGAAGAAGAAGAAGAAGAGGAAGAAGAAGAAGACGAGAAGAGGGAGAAGATCTCTCTCTCTCTCTCTCTCTCTCTCTCTCTCTCTCTCTCTCTCTCGCGCGCGCGCGCGCGCGCGCTATCTCCTCGCCTCTCTCTCTCTCTCTCTCTCTCTCTCTCTCTCTAGCGCTATCTCCTGGCCTCTCTCTCTCTCTCTCTCTCTCACCAGGTACTCTCTCTCTCTCTCTCTCTCTCTCTCTCTCTCTCTCTCTCTTTCTGAGTGTGCGAGCAGGCAGGGCGGCAGCCTAACGGCAACAGCAACAACTGTTGCCGTTTCAGATAAATGGCAGCATTTATCCGAGATTTGCCGTGGCCCGGGCCTGGACCCACCGCCCCCCCCACACCCAGTGCCCACACAGTGCCCCCACCCAGTGGCACTGAAACAGGGCCGAAACGGCCCCGCGGGCCTTTTTTT